TATACCGCATAACTTTGCTCACCACAGAAAGCCAAAGCAGAAACACAAAAGTGTGATCAATATGTTATACCATTTTTTTATCTAACAATGCATCTGTTATGTTACAAAGGTGTTTGATTTGTTTGATTCCCTTTTGTGTATTTTCACAATGGCTTAGGCAGTTTTGCTTCTTACTTTCTGAAGTATTTCTTGATTTTTGCTACGTTTTTTTCTTATTAGTCCATGCTTATGCTGCTTTTAGTTTAGATAATTTGTGTTTACTGTGTCAGATGTCTTCCCAGAGTTTCTCTGCTTTCCTTTTCTACTTCATCTGATTAATTACTCTTCGCTCCGTCATCTGTTGTCTCTCTTTCTCCCTTATCTCATTAGCTCATCTGGTTTACCTGCCATTTGACTTATATATTTATACCTGTCTCAGTATATATACTTATCAGTTCTGTTTGTTCTCCTCTGGATCATTCCATTACCATGTCTGCTTTTGTCTAATTGCTCCTGTTTTCACTCTTTGCCTAATTCCTATTGTGTGGAATTTGAGAGTTTTGGTAATATATTCTTAAATATCAAAAATAAATTCACTCATCATGCTACTATTCTCAAGTACCTGTCGTCAAGCTAGTCCATCTCTTACCTCAAAAAACACAACAGCACTTTTTGGTATTTAGAATCATGGGCACCACTGGCTGTTGTATGGAAAGTAATACAGTTCTTGTACTGTTTATTGCTGGGTTTGAAGTTTAGAAGTTCAATGCCATTACTGCTTTATGTTAAATGTTTTAATGGTGATTAGGTACATAAAAAATCTCAGTTCTACAAGTTAAACACGAATAATGATTATACTGTAATAATATTTTAACTTTGTATTGATATAGGCTTCTGCTCTGTTTTATCAGTGTGTGTTTAGTCACATTTCCTTTCTTGATTGCACTCTGGGAATAAGTGGCAGCCTGTTTTTAACTTTACCTGGAAAGAGGTCATGTGGAATCTCTTCCAGCTTCTACATCTCCTTTACTCTGGACAAAGTGCCTTGTTATCAGCCCAAATTACAATACTTTCATTGAACCTGCTGATGCTGTCAGCCCAGAAACAATGAGTGTTGTTGATTAACTGAGATGAGGAAAAGCAAAACAATCATACGCTCTGTGGAGATGAAGCTCATTGATGTCAAGTTTTCACATGCAGATTAAAGGCACTGCTAATTAGAAAATATTGCGATGCAACACCCCGTAATTAGGGCAGTTATTTGAATTGTGAATACTGGCTGTTTTGAATGGAATACAAACCAGGGAGACTAAACAATAATTTTTATTTAGTGCCCTTCTTTGTGTGAAAGCATTTTATGAAAATGTTCTTCCTTATAATATTTCTATTTAGGAAGGTAAGTTTTTTATTAGTTTCAGTTTGTTTAAAAATGGACAGTTCTTGCAACTTTGTTTTGCAGTTGCACATTTTAATCTCAAAATTGTTTGCTTTTTGCATCCATTTACATCTCCTTCAGCCTCTGATATGACAGACGAAAGGGATGAATATAGCCTTGGCTTGACGAACAAGCCTGGAAATGTGTGCCAATAGGCATGACATCAGTGACAAGAAGCTCTGAGTTCCTGTCACATGTGTCATGATGAATCCACATCAACTGCAAACCATCTGTTAATGACAGCACTTTCAGTTTTACTAATACCACCAGGACACATTTATCAACTATCTTCAGATATAATCAAATAAAAAATGGACAACATCAAGTTTGCTATTATCTACCACCAACATGACATCAATTTTGTAAATCTGATGCATGCTCTAACGCATACAACCTACTATTTT